TAAGAATGGATATGGTTAGAAACGTGTTTTGTTTGTAGTCCAGAAAAGAGAAATCTGCAGTTTCAGGATCACATAAAGGTCTTTTCTGGGTAGAAAGCTACTATGTGTGGCCTTTTTTACTGGCAACATATTTGCTGTAGTGACATTGTCTGTAAGGTTTGCTGTGAGCTGAGTGCTTGATCTTGTGTGAAAGAGTCAAGGCAAAAATTTGAGAAGAGCTTTTCTACTCAGTGTGGTTTTGCCTCATTTTCCCACATACTGTGCTAGTGGCTCTGGAGCTCGTGTTGCCCCTCTATTGCTTTGCTTTTTTTGCTTATGATTCGAGGGAGATGTGGCGTTTCCTGCAAAACAGCTGCTGGTATTCCCTGATGACCTGTCGGAGAGGATCCAGTGGAATTACAGGTTTAAAGGCAGATCTAGAGGACTTTTTGGCAGCTGCAGCAGAGGTTTGGGGAAAGGTGGGGGTTGCATTGTGCAGGATGCAGGAAGGAGGATTAGAAATGGAGTGCAAGGGCATAAGAGAGGAGCTCTGGAGATTCAGGGACTGTTAGGTCTCCAACAACATAAGGACTTCACATGTACAAACAATTCAGATTTGGCCGAGAAAGTTGGACTATATCCATGTTTCCATAGGACATGGAGAATCTCCTGGACTAGCTGAAGATCGTTTGCAATGCTACTGATGCAGAGTTTGCACTGCACCTTCGAACAAAATGTAGCACCAGGCCTTTAGACTCTAGCCTCTAACTAGAAAAAATAACAGATATTGATCCAAAATGGCTTCTTAAGAAAGTGCAGTGAATTCAGTGAGAGAGTGTTAAACTTTCCTCCGAGATTAATGTCATTAATACGTTAACTGTTTGACAGCACAAGTCACATGTTGCTTGTCACTTGCTGCAGTGGCTGCACTGAGACAGCTGAGAGGTTGCAGAAGGATTAATGTGGTAAAGAGGATTGTAACTTTGATTGTGCTTCTGTGCTCTTGGATTTGACAGCAACTGGTATTTAGAAACAAAACAGAATATGCGTTGTTATTTATGTGGAATGTAAACAGCCATGTGGAAGTATTTAAATGAACTGGAAAAGTTCTCTTTTAAACTTGAGCATTGCAGGCTTTGGCAGGAACTGAGAAGTGTGTAGAGGTTACTGTCTTAGGAGTGGTGATAACTGGTTTTCTAGTTGCCTTGCCGTATTTTTTTTCATTTTTAGGGGCAAAAACTCATTCTGTTTCAGGTTCATTTATATCTACTGACTGTGCCACTGGTGTATGTGGACAGGGACAGCCACGTCCACAGCTGTGTGAGTACCACTTCACCTGCCAGGCTGGGTCTAGTCTGTCTACACATGAACTGCAAACGAGCTTAGGAACTGTTGCACAGATAGCTGCTTGTCTCCTCAGTATGTGAGCATGCGAATATTTCATTTTATAACAACTATTTGATGTGCAAATGTCTTTTATTCACATCCTGTTTTACTGTGTAATAGCAGATTTGTATGTTGTATGTAATTTCTTGTGTACAATTTCTTGTCTAGATGTAAAAATTGCTGTGACCAGGAAAGTCAGTTTGATAGAGGAGCCACCACCACCTGGGTGTGAGGGGTTGATTTTGACAGCTGAGGGCCTTCTTGCTTTCTCATCTGTTCCCATTATTTCCCTGAAATATATTGCCAGTGTCTAAGGCTGATTCACTACCACATACACAGCAAGGAAGGAGGAAGGGGAAGGCAACCTGGTAGTTCTTGAGAAGGAATGTATTGATATTTAGTTGTGATTTATGCCCCACCATTGAGAGTTGTCAGAGAATCCACACCTTCAGCAGACCCAGCCTCCTGCAGCCTTGCCTGCCCAGCTCCAACAAGGATTTTTTGCTCCTTGGGAGGGAGTTGCTTTTCCAGCTCTGCACTGTGCCATACCTGCAAAGTGTTGGTGCCATCTTCTCCTGCTGATGCTAAAGTGACATTCACTTTTGTGACTAAATGTGCAGATCTGACCTGAGAGCACCCATGGTTGTGTGGCAGTGGCTGTTTGCATTCTTTCTCCTGAGTGACTTTACAGTGGTCACAGTTTCCATTTTTTGCTTCCAGGAAACTTTAAGAGAAGCTGGGAAATGCTGATGATTCTCAAATCTGTATTAGAGTCTGTCTAAAAGGTGGAAGATTTTCTGTAGCCATGTTCTGGGGGAAGAGAAGGGTTTGAGGAGGTAAAAGGAAATGCCAAATGTAGCAGGTGGTTCTGATCACAAGAATGACCACAAATCTGGCCCCCTCGGCTAAAATAAGTAAAGGTGTAATCTTTCCCTTCCCTATCTTTTAAGTAAACATCTGTTTAAAATGGCAGGATGCACTTTATTATATTGTCATACCACAACAGTGACTCTTCCACCATTTTCTGTGTTAGAGGGGAAAAAATCCAAGTTTAAAGTACTGGTTTACTCTTGGGAATTGATAAATTAAGAAGGTTGTCTGGGGAAAAGCTCCAAACATTTAGCTTGACTAAAAATCCAGTGTAAAGAAACAGAAAATAACTTGATAATGTGATACTTTGATGACTTCAAAATACAAATTTAGGTGATCAGTATCTTGAATGTCTGTCTTTCCAGAAGATTAATTTTACTAACAGAGCAATGTATTTCTTTTCTAAACATATCCATATTGATAGTTTGATTGATTTGATTGATGAAGGATATCGATGATGCAGTTTACTAGAAGGCAGCCAGTCTCGAGAAAACCAGTAGCTGTGGTGAAAATGTAGTCATTTATCCTGAATTGATGTCATCTGTGTATGGATATCAGGCTTTTTTCCCAAGTTTTACCTTATTACACAGCTTGATTTTGTTGGTTACAGAGCAGTTCCTTTTCATCAGTCCTCAAGGAATTAATAGGGAAGTTGCAAATTTTGATCAAACTAATTAAAATTGATTAAATAATTGCTGAGGAGGTTGGTAAATCTTGAAACAATAGCTATTATTTCACAAAATAAATACTCCCTGAATGGAACTCTGCATTTCAGAGGCAGATGCATGGCTTACGTGGTGGCTGCCAGAAATGTGAGGTGAAATGAATGTAAATTCACTGCGTCCTGCAGAGGAGTTTTGAAGGCAGAGGCTGCACACTGAGGTGTGTGGTGGGGTGGAAACTGGTAAATAACAGTTGGCATTCGGGGGAGAGAGGAGAGATACTTTTGTATTTGAAAAAAATTAAGAGTGTTTTGTTCTTCAGTTGCAGGAGAATCTGGAGGGATTTGCAGATATGGAAGTGCTTGATCTTAAATAGAAAACGCATTTATTTAGTCATTGGAGATCTAATAGAAACAGTTTGGTATATTCTCTTTTTTTTAAGCATTTCTCTTTGTTCTTGAGGTATTTGCCCATTGCAAATTAATCATGGATGAATCCTTCTGCTACTGGCAAGTTTTTACTTGTGAGGATGCCAGACAAATTGTCATGTTTTGATTCTCTGTGGGAAAATTTTTCTTGGTTATCCTTGAAATATCAAACTAGGGAGCGCAGGGCTGATGGTGCAAATCCAGAACCTTCCCTTGCAGCAGCAGGTCACTGTCCCTTCCTTCCCCTGCTCTTGGCTGGCTGAGTGATCCTGTTCAAGCTCAAGAATAGCACACACTTGGATTCCTCAAGTTAAGTGCTGAAGGCTTAAGGCAATGCAAAATTGCTCCATGTTGAAGGAGAAACTCCAGCCTGTCCGAAGTTCTCGGTCTGTGGTTAGATTCCACTTGCTGTTTGACTGCTGTGTCAGTAGTGGGGGTACCTGGCTGATCCCTGCTGTGGGGGCTCTTGGTGCTAGGGCACCAACAGAGTCAGCTGCTGCTGATGCTGCTGAGCACGGCCCTGCTGACTGGAAAATTCCTCTTCCCCTCCCCATCCCATCCCTGCCGCACGCTGCTGCCTCTGGCTGGGGAGCACCAGGGCTGGGGAGATGGTGTTCCCACAAATGGGGATCAGGACCGTTACGGATTTATAAAACCCAACTCCTGGCTCCTGTAGTGTTTTGTAGTTGTGCTTGAGTTGGCAGCACATGGCTGTTTGCAGCACGCTGATCCAGCTGGCTGGCCAAGCACTAGCACTTCTCCCCTGGAGAAGTGTATGATTTGTAAAGAATGGCCAAATACCTCCATGAAACAACCTTTTTGCTTAACAATGTTCAGGGATAGAACGGTTAGTTTTTAAAAAATTGCAAAACCAACCAAACCCAAACAGTTTGAGGGAAGCCTGTCTGTCCTGAGGCCTGTTGTGCTGCTGTGGGGTCAGCCAGGCCTTGCTTTGTCTGGTGCTCTCGAGGTCTCTGGTGTGAGCACAAGCAGTGCTGAGCTCTAGATGCCATGTCTGTAGCTGGGACATAAACTTCCTGGTTTTTTACACTTGCCATTTGCTCTATAAGCTTTTGCCTTGAATGGTGCTTGGAGATAACCCCCAAGACAGGAACGAGGCAGAGCCTGCCTCTCTGCAAGGGCTGGGAGCAGAGACCTTTTGCTACCTTTCAGTCTTCCCATTGTTTTCCTTACAGTTTCCCATTAAACTTGAAACAAGGCAGTCATAAAGTAAACTGCTCAATAACCAGGTCACATGAATTCTTCATAAACCATTATGGGAGCAATCTCATGTCTGTCACAGAGCATTTTGCCAAGTCATCTGAGCTGTTGTTACACATTCTCCTCTTTATTCTTGATGTGGAAGAGCTGGGAGACCAAGTGTACCAGGTGCTTATTAAGAAATTATTTGCTATTTCTTGGTGAAATCTTCTGGCAGATTATTGCCATTTATTTTACTATTTTTTGCATTTTTTTCAGCGCTCTTCATGGAGTTGATTTTGCTTAATTATCACCTGACTTGATTACGTTCACAACAGTAATGAACTGGTCTTCTTTGGAGTGATGAAATCATTGTAACTAGCATCAAGAGGAACAATTATCTCTTTCCTGACTTCTGTTTTTTTTCTTTTAGCCTATGAAATATTGTAAAATTTTCTTTTTTTTTCCATTACAGAACGAAGACACGGTTCAATGTGTAAACCTTCCCCTTCTCCAGCTTCTCCAGCCTGTAATTCCAGGACATCCCTAGTCCAGATGAAACCGAAATCCTGTATCAGCGGCCATAACCCTGTCAGCAGCAACTCAAAGCCATTCAAAACGCCCAAAGACAATCTACTTACCTCCAGTAGCAAACAGCACACAGTCTTTCCTTCAAAAGTGTCACGGGATAAACCATGGTAAGTACCAAAACAGTAGTGGCCAAAGATGTACGATAAGGATTTCTGTGTAGATATCACAGTCACTAAAAAATCTGTATTCTCATCTTACCTAAGTTTGCAGTTTAAGCCTCTACATTTCTAAGGGGGGAAAGTGGGATATTTGAAATGAAGAAAAAAAATATAGGAAGGGGAAAAAGGACTGGATTGCTTTTCTGATGTTCCACCCAATGTTTGCTTTTCTAAGGTGCATATAGCAAGTCCGAAGTTCTGGGTCTGTGGTTAGATTCTGAGATATTGACCCAGTTTGCTGTTTTTAAGGTCCATCTTCCATTGCAGTATCAGCCCTTAAAACTGATGCTTTTAAACACTAGGATAATTTTTGCAGAATTGTTAATATTGGCTTAACTGTTGTTCATGCAAACTTACTGATTATAGTCATTTATCACGTTGGAATTCATTCTGTATTTTGATAATGTTTAATGCCTTAGAAGATGACATAAGAAAATTCTGGCTGCAAAAATCACTCTTTTGGGGGCGTCTTACATCATGTACTGTGATATATATACACATGCAGGCTTGGAGACTGCTGTGCCCATCCTCCCGTGACTGTGGTGATAGCAGCAGAGTTGCAAAAATGTAAATGAGAGCAGAACTGGGTCAGTATTTTATCCCATAAGAAGCTGTTTTGTCTTTAGTTATCTACAGAAAAGATGCTTTGTGATTAGGTCACTAGGTTGGTGACTTGAGATCTGGGCTCAGTTCCTGGTTCTGTTACAGCTTCATCTCTTCGGCTTCAGTTCTCTGTCTGTGTATTTGAGATAGTGAGACTTCCTTTCTCTTATCTACTTACTTTGTGATGATCCTTCCCTTTTCTATGTAACATGTAGCATAAGAAGATCATGATTATAGGCAGAGTTCCTGGGCACAACTTCCTCAAAGCAGCGAGTCGTTTACTGCAAACCATTCACTCATGAGACAGAGCATAAACTCAGGTTATGTTACAGGAACAGCTCATGCTTTGTGCCTGAAACGTGCACGAGTTGCTGTGATTTCAAGGACAGCAGCTTCTGCCAGGCAGTAGAATTTACCTTGCAGGGGAACAAACTTGATCAAAATCTATTCTTCCTATAAATCTGAACCCACCACCTCTTTAGGCATGGTGAGCATTGGGAGGAATTATGGTATATAATGCTGAAAATAGTTAATCTGAATGTTTAGGGTACACACACACACGTTAACTAGAATAGCCTCTACCTCATCTCTCTGTAAGTGCCTCATTGACTACTTAAAACCAAATATTATTGATCAGCTTTATCGCTCATCTCTCTGTAAGTGCCTCATTGACAACTTAAAACCAAATATTATTGATCGAATAGCAGCTTTTTCATCTGAATGTTGGAGGGGAATTTTTTTACAAGGGGATCTTTTCAAAGTCTGATTAAAAGAAAGGACTTTAGAGTATTAACACTATTGATTATAAACCTGTTTCTCATCCTACTGTTACAGACAGCAACTTGCATATCCACATTTCAGCAGACTAACTGAATCTATAAACAATATCTTCCGTTCTGGCAACAGATGGCATTCTGGCAGTCAGTAAAAGCTGGAAGGGAACAAAATAACTGAGCGTTTCCACCAATCCCTTTTCCCTTTATTGGGAACATCCCAAATATTTACTGGTGATTAACAGGGTAGATTGAGCCGTTTAAAGCTGTTGTACTGCTCTGTTAATCGTTTGGCAATGAACTGACAGGAGTTGTACCTGAGAAGTGCCCAGTTCATGCAGCTCTGCTGGGAGATCATCCTGTGGTTCTGTTTACCAGTGGGGAAAATTCAGGCATATCATAGTTAAAGATATTGTGATCACCATATAACAACCCACAAAACAGTCTGAAGAGGAGATCAATGGAATTGTCTTTGGAAATGTGGTGTTAAGTGCTTCAGATTGCACGACTTGTTAAAGAATAAAATCCATCTGATAATCATCACAGGTTATAGAGAGCTGACAGCTGTTAGGGAAGAAAGTGTTTGTTCCTATTCCATTAGAGATTATAATATTTATTTGGAATTCTAGAAAATACTCAGCAGAACTGATTAAGGGGAAATTGTTCATAAAATTGATTCTTTTTGTAAGATTCTGTCTTCCATTCAACTGCCTGCACAAGCCATAGAATTCTTATCTTATCTTTTAGAAAGAAATACTCAATTAACAGAAGAACATTTGTCTCAAAAATGCAAATAGGCTTCATCGTGTGTTCACGTGTGTTGCAGTTTATCATCCTCATAAGCTTCCAGTTGTTCAGTGGTTTTGTCTGTTACGTTGTGGTCTCACACCAAACATTGCCTTGACATAGTTTCTTCCAGACAGTTGTCAAATGAGCTTAATTCAGAAATTGTACCACTTGTAATGATTTCTTTCCAGACCTGGAATAACCTTTGTTGGACTGGCCTGATTCTCTCATACAGCATCTCCTTTAAATTGTAGCTGTTACAATTAGTATTTGAGGAATAGCTTCTCACAGCATGGCCCAGTAGGTCTGTGTGTTGCCAAGCCTGCCTGTGCACCCAACCCTTCTGTTGTTTAATTCATTGGAGTTTTGGTTGTGGCATCACCTTTCTCCACGTCCTGTGTAGTCCTAAGATGTGTTGCAGAGGTTCAGGTTGCTCCATGGCTAATGCTTTTTTTAAAAAGCACAACCAGAATGATCAGATGAAAGAGATCTGGAACTGTTTCATTTTTCTAGCCGCTGTTTTAATACTTCCCTTCTTGTAGTTGGAATATAAAGTATTATTGTGAATACATCATCCAGAAATATCTGTCAGCTCTGATTTTTTTCCCCTGTGTCTCTCTAACATCGTTGCTATTAATACAGCAGTGCTTAGAGACTGGAGCAGAGCTGGAGCACCACTGCACTGTGCACAAGATAAATGCAAACCATCGTTTTCTGAAGCTTTGCAGTCGAGGGGGTAAGAGGTGTAGCAGAAGGGTGGAAAATAGAGAAAAGGGCAAAGAATAAGATAGTTGGTAGTAATAACAATAATGAACAAGTGATGATAACAAGCATAGCCCA